AATAAGTCAACAATAAGTTGTGTTCCGAAGGCGAACAGCGTTTCATCAAGGTACAAAAATTGATGGTATGTTCTTTTTTGTTGTTGAAAGCATAGCAAATAACCAGCAACATTCGGAGATAATAAGTTGGGAATCTTGCGCCGTACACAAGAAGTGGATAAATTTAAATTGGCTTCAACCAATTCCCGTATATTCAAATTATGTTGTTTGGTAGATTGAAATCTTAAGTATAAGTTGTGAAAATCTCGGTAACCTCAAGGGGATTAGAATCCCCTTACGGATGCCATTGTTTATTCCGTTTCTTGTAGGTTTGCACAAGGCGATTGCTTTTGACCTTTAACAACTGAAAAATCGATCGATATTTGAGTGACCTTAGTATTTGTATGTATGTATGTATGTATGTATGTATGTATGTATGTATGTATGTATGTATGTATGTATGTATGTATGTATGTATGTGTTGAAATGAGCTGCAATGCTAATGATAAGCGTTTTCTTACAAGAAATTGCGACACATAATTGTAATTATTGCGGCTGCGACCAGGTCCAGCGAGCAAAGAATGGCTGTCGATTCGTTGAAAGGACTGCGTTGTGCGAATCCATCGAACTATCGAACTATCCCCAGTCGGGTCGATGGATTCGCACTACTAATGAGACCCAACCAGGTCGAAACAGCTGTCTAGTGCTTCCGAGCTTTTCAGTTCACGCTTCATTTGCTATATACACGACGAATTGTCATTTGAAACTTAACCAAATCCTCCATTACCCAAATGAAATAATCAGTACCGCTGTGTCAGAATAGCTATGATGCTGATGTTTAGAATTGTGCGGAAATTCAACCGCCCACATGTCGACTCTATCCCAAAAAGTCCACCCCACAGGAAACGCTTTGAATTTGACAGAACAGAAATAGTCGGCAAAATGGTTGATGCCATTCGTTACATTTAGAGTGAGCAACATCCCATGAAACTATTTCTCGCTCTCTCCTATTCTAAATTGTTTATTTGTCTTTCACGCTGCAGCCTAAGGATTCACTATCAAATCTTATAATTCAGTACCCACTAATATTCCATTCTACGACCGGTAGCACTGATACAAATTGACATTACTGATCAGCATATCATCGTAGTTTGGCGAACGGCGCACCGAATTACTATTAGTTTAAAAATGGGTTATACGAACAACGTACAACTGCCACACTACTGTAGTGGTAATAGAGGTAGTAGTAGTTGAAGTTACGCACAGAATTCGGACACGAACTACACAATAGGAATCACGGAACACGAATTAAAAACCGAGCACTGGACCGCAATGGCTCGAACTCGCAATAACCCGCAGGATCGAGACGCGAGGAAAGAGGCACTGGACTGTCAATGGAACTATGCAATCGGAATCACGGAACACGAATTAGAAAACCGGTGGCACTGGACCGCAATGACTCGAACTCGAATAACCCGCAGGATCGAGACGCGAGGAAAAAGACCACAAGACAGGCGAATCACAAAGTCCTTTATTGAAGGAAGTGAAAGTGAATATACATGTACACAAGAAAAGATCATTGGCTACCTTAGTTTCCACCAATCATATTGCATCACATCATGCGTCATACTGCTCTTCTCTGCATTGTATCTGCAGCACCATATAGCCTGTCATGACCATCGAGAAACCGTTACCCGACTTACAACACGGATAAACCATTTCCCTATGGATAACAAGAAGAGTAAACATTCACAAAAGCCACCGTGAATGCCCACTTGGAAAGAATGGTTTTGTGGAACGGAAGACGGCCCTCGGGATAAAAACTTATGCGCGTGCACTTTCTACGGTCAGGTTAACCGCAGTGCAGCACTGCAGTAAACTTGAAGTCAATTGTGAGTTTGAAACAACAACAAATACTAAAATGCACACCACAACTTCAGTACCGATAAGACACGCGACTGAAAACACGTGACACGCTCGACCGATCCCGGATGGTAGAAAGGGAAGTCACGTGGACTGACTAGCAAACTATGGGAGTCTACAACTTTGATAAGTTGGATTTGAATAATCTGGACGAATTTTGCCACTTTAGCTGAAACTTGTACAGAGAACAAAAGTACTTCAGTTTCATGGCACAGGCGGTGCTAAAACGTCTTCGCTCAGAGTAAGCAGTCACCAACCCGGTGGACTTGACATGTTTTTCGTCTTAGTGTACTTACCGACCTCAACCAAGATACAGTGAAATATATCTTTCACAAAAATCGGCAAGACCTCCTACACAATATGAGTTGAGCTGATATCATGATTGC